ATGGCGTAATAATTAAATTTTTATTAAAATCAACTGTAGCATTTAATTTTCCGAGCAGATCAATTCCGATCAGACCTTCGAAATTATTATTAAAATCAAAAAAATGAAATTTTTGTTCTTTTTCTACATTAAAAATGCTAAAAATGGGAATTTGAATTACTTTGTTATGATAACTTATATTATGCACTGTTTGTAATTTAAAATCTTCGTTAAAAATATATTTTTTATAAAATGTATGAGCTAATCTAGGGTTCATTAAACTTCTACTGCTAGCAGTGTCTATTAAGAAATTTGCGTTTATTTCTGGTATAAAAATATAAGGTAAATTTGATCTCACCATGTTCGTATTAATTACATTTTCAACTTGTGTTAGAGCTCCCACATGAAAATTTTTGAAACTTGGTTATCAAAAGTATCATAAGACGGACCTTGAGAGGGTTCATGGAAATATGTCAGTTGAGTTGGATTCGAGTTAATGTCTTGTTCTTGATAAGGACTATGATTGTCGTTTGTTGTGTTAAATGTTGAGAAATCATTATTTTCTTGGAAGTGGTATTCACTGTTATTATTTTGATTATTATATGAATTTTCGAATTGATTTTCTATTTGATCAGAATTTTGCAAGTAAAGGTTATGATTATTTATACGCGTATTTCCAGATGACGTATCCATTGGCTCTGGGATACTATTTGATCTATTATTAAAATTCGTATTTCTTGAAATTTGACTATTTCGGTTGAAATTAGTCGAATATTGACCAAAATTTGGATTTTTGGAATTATTTGAATTTCGATTGAAATTTTGATTATTGAAATTATTTGATTGATTAAACTGGGGTCTCTGAATGAATTGATTTTGGTTCTGAAAATTCTGATTATTTTGTCTTGGAAAATTATTAAAGTATGAATGAAATCTGTTAAAATTATTAGAATAAAAAGGTTTTTGTAATGGTTGTGATTGTTGCCTTTGCTGCTGGGGTTTTGAATAGTTATTTCTGTTATTTACAGGTCTATAATTTTGAGAATCTGAAAAATTTGATTTTTGTGAACTATAAACAAAATTTTCTTCTTCGACTACAAATGCCATTGCTTGTTCTAAACTATCTGGGTTTCGTAAACGAACATTATTTTGTAATTGACCTGTGAGGTCGTGAATAAATGTTTTAATAGCTAAATCGTTATAATTTTGAAGTCTAATACGTTTTTCTTGAGGCGAAAAATTTGACGCATTTATTTTAGATACAATTAAACTTCTAGAGTCTTGGCAACGCATACCAAAACGACATGGGGGTTCATTTTTAAAAGGATGTGAAGCAATCAAGTCTTGTACATGACAATCTAAATTTCTCTGATCACCAAAGCTTAATATTAATAAATTTTTTATATCTTTCCAAACAGTTAATTCACTACGGGAGCCTATTAAACTCAAAGCTCTCCCGGTTAATTTGCCAATAATAGCTCTTAAAATATAAGCATTAATTGTAGTTGCATTATTTTGTCGATCAGAAAATTGTCCAATCAAACTTTCACAAGCATCTCTAAAAATACAGTTAATATATGGGGGTTTCCATCAAAATTTGGAATAGTGTCTACATATAATTGCAAAAGTGGATAATTAGTTTTATCTGCCATATTTGAATCTGAACTTTCTGAATCTGAACTTTCTGAATCTGAACTTTCTGAATCTGAACTTTCTGAATCTGAACTTTCTGAATCTGATTCTTTTATAGGAGGTAAAGTATCTAAATTTAATGAGGAATCTGTCCTAAGAGTACTATTAAAAATATTCACTAATTCGTCTATTTCAGACATAAAATATAATAAATTCTCTCAATGATTTATTTTATCCCAAAAATGAAAATTAAAAATCACTAATATATTCAACTCAAGATATGAAATGTTTAAAATAAAAGGAGAGCAAAATTTCGTACGCAATTCCTAGGATTATTTTCGTCATATCTTTTAAGACTGCACTATCTTATATAAAGTGTAACTAAAGACTGCGGTTTTTATTCTGCTTAAGGTTAAGCAGTTGATTTTGTTTGCTCTTGAATGGATCTTCTATAAATGTTCTGGAGTGCCTGAGTCCAGGAAGTTCCAACCAGAGCTTATGGTATTCCTTATTTCTCTGATGCGTAAGCACTCCTTTGACATGTTGATATGAAATACTACGTATTGATACGGATCCATTTAAGGAGAAGGGATCGCAATAGATAATCGCGATCACATCGCATCGCGGGTTGTGCTAGTCTAGAGCGCGCACAGTGAAGTTCTATCCCATATTTGATAACACATGCATTTCCACTTAATGTTCTTGAGCTGTGCTCGCTCGCATCGCGTTCACCTCCTATCTTTTTCAAATAATTTGGGAGACCGCGATGCGATCGAGACTAGCACAACCCGCGATGCGACGGGACCGCGATTGCCTAATGCGTCCCCTTCTTTAGAGTTTACTTAGTTGCCTTTCTAGCTTCATCGTTTCCCAATATTTCCTCATGTCCTGGTAACTATTCAAGCGTTATTTTTTAGCGTGGATTGGAGAGACTTTTGACAGTCCAATAGTAATTATTTGATGTGTACTTCTACTCTTTGCATGGTTTAAATGGCTACATTAATACAGACACTAGTCATAAGTTACTGTAGGCAAATAATGATAATTATTAAAGTTTAAATAGTCTTTAAAAAAGTGTTTGCTTCTAATAAGGATTTGGTACTTTTAATTCTGTGTAAATAGTACGCTCAATTTTATACCACCTTTATCAATTTCATAATTGTTTAGCATTTAATAATCTGCATGAAATATGGTTAATTATGTAATTTGTATCCTTATCATTCGCTCTTATTCTGTAAAAAGAAATTCAGTAGAATCGTTAAATAAGTAATTAAGGACCATAATTTATCGAAAAACAATACAGTCGGTCCTTGATATCTTTAAGTAAAAAGAAAAACTCATTAAAGACCCTTCCACAAAAGAAAAATTTCCGTGAAATAAAAATATTAAACATTATTAAGAAACTTGAGTTTGTTGTTTTTTTATCACCCTGAACAATACGTTTATTTCTGAGATGGGTCTTGGATCTGTCTTGAGGAGAGCAGAAATTAGGATAATCATTAATATAAAATTACGTTATAGCATTCATACGTATCAGACGGACGCATCGAATATACGGATTTTCGATAACATAATATTTTCCATTAATGGTGTTAAGTTATTTAATTTGTACCATTTTTGTTTACGACAATATTTGTTTATTTAAGTTCTCTTCATATTTTTTAAATTACCACCTGTATGTCTTTTAGATTTCCAAAAGACGTTCTTAGGAGAGAGACGTGGAGAAGAGAAATGAACGGGGATAAGGAAAACTTATACACCAACTCTAATTTATTTCACATTTTCGTAGAAAATATTTTTATTTTAAAATATCATTTTTTGTCACACGTTTATGGTATGTAATTTGTTTTAAGCTTTATTTATCTATAAAAAAAATCAGAAATGTCAATTATAACTTTTTTTATAAACAAAACAGTGCAAATTTTGACAATTTTATATTCGTTCAATAGATAGTTAAATAATCTCAGGAAAATTACCTTAAAAAACTTTAACAGCCGTATGCATAGTCGATCGCCAGCGACTCGCCAGAGATTCATTTCGGCGCATCGCCAGCGATCCGCCGGCGAAAGCCCGAAAAAGTGGCGACTCGCTGGAGATTGTCACCGGCATGTCATTTCACGCAAGTTTGTATGTTCTTCTATAGGGAAAAATTTGATACTCGTTCATTGTTTTTTGAGTTTTAAGAAATAAATTAATAATAATGATAACGTGAAAAAAGAACATGAAAACTTGCGATAAATGACATGCCAGTGAAAATCGCCAGCGGCTCGCCACGTTTTCGGGCTTTCGCCAGCGGATCGCCAGCGACTCGCTGGCGATACGCCTGAATGAATGTTTGACGAATCGCTGGCGATCGACTATGCATACGGGAAGCATGAGAGTTCGATGTAGTTTTAGTTAATTTAAAACCATATTGAAACTCTTAAAAAAAAAATTGCATTGTGGCCGTCAAAACAAGAGTGGATATGGACAATTCACTCGAGTTGTACAGTATATTTTTTCCAGGGCCCACTAACGAAAATCTACAAATTTAAAAAAAAATGTTAAGTTATTAAGACAAAATAATTGATTTTAAAATAAATTATGACTTTTACTAATTTATAAAATAAAATAAAAATGAAAAACAATTTAATTAGTCCCCAGCCCAGATTTGAACCAAGGCGTCTCGCGTGAGAGACAGATGCTATGTCCTTATTTTGAACAGCCTTCAGCTAAAATATACTAGAAAATAATCAGAGTAACGAGCCAAGTTTCTTTGTTTACTATTTATTCTGGGGTCACAGGGACCAGGTCCTGGTAAACGTGTTAGGTATAGTATGTACTATCGGTTTATTGGGTATATTTGTAAATATAGCGGATCTAATATATTATGAGCTCATACGCCGGTATAGGTTAAGTACTATTATTTTTTTAGTATTTGGTAATCCTAATTCAAGTAATTATTTACTCGTTATCTGTGAATAACATTGTACATAGTGGGAAATAAGTGTTTGTTGATATTTAATCGAATAATATATTTATAATTATTTAAATTGAATAATTGAATTTGATTAAAGCGAGAGCAAACCAAGTAGCTTAGTTTTATTTGAGCCTATTTTGTCTAGTGGTATTTATATGACATGGTCTGTGTACAGCCAATTTGATGACTGGTTTTTCGTGACGAATTATACTGGCGCCCTTTTGGGAACTCTTAATTATCGGACCACACCACCTCCGACTAGAGCTAAATTTCTTAGAATTTGCATTGATTAGAATTGAATATTCGAATTGCAACTTATTAAGCAATAAATTAACTTCTGGATGCTTTGCATTAAGAACAGTTTCTAAGAGTCCTAACTTTAAAATAGCTGTTCTACACAAGTAAAACAAAATATTTACTAAACTTCAGATTAGCGAGTTAATTTGCCTTTGGGATGAAACGTTAATTCTTCGTTAAGCTAAAACATAATTTTGCCATGTAAAAGCTTAAATGATTCAGAACAAATGCTCGTTATAACGAACTGTATTTTCTTCTAAAATACTCCAAAACTTTCACGTTCGGAGAGTATGGCAAAGCGCTTAGAAAAGAAAAATAACTTCGCTAAGTGAATGAATAGACACAAACGTTCCCAAAGATAAAAGTTTTTTCAAAATCAGTTTAAGAGATACTTATTTATCAAACAAACTAAATAGTGACAAACGCTTTTAGAAAAAAGATAAAAAACATTCACTAAAACGTCTTTAACACAGATACTTGAGGTTCATAATATAAGAATGTGAACGATTTAAGTATTAAAAGAAAACAAATCAAATCCAAATTGATTTATGGTATACACCGGTGTATTAATAAGAGCGATTCTTATATTCTAGGAAATTTTGACGCGCCAGCGTAGCAATCGCGTTAATATTGTAAATAATTAATGGCCGTTTCATACGAATAAGATAGAAGTCTGACAAAAAAGACTTCAAAATATAGTGTTCACGTTTCCATTGATCTATATATAATAAATGTATAGGTAATACCATTCAAGGGGGGGTTAACTCGTATAGGGAAAATTGGGGTAGCGTTTTTAATCCACCACCTCCACTGGTGGCACTAAAGTCGTGTGTTGGGGTGAAAGGCGGTAAGTGGGTGGGAGTGTAATGACAGGTGAATTTTGACTATTGTGAACAAGGTGTCATGGTGAAATCGAACAGAAAGCCTATTATGAATTTATTGATACTGTTAACTTGGTTCTAACAATTTGTGTTTTCAATTTGTTTATTTGATCTAGATATTATAAATTTGTGTTATTTGCCTGGAAGTGTACTAAATGGACTGCCTTCAAAACTCTTTAGAAATCGAATAGTAATTTGGTTACACCTTCTGTGTATTCAACTATACTAAAAGTTTGGAAAAATTTTTTAGCGAACTAAATATCTTCAACCTTAAATGAGTTAGACATCGAATATATTGATTAAAGTAATTAGTTACACCTTCTATCTTTAACTAAACTTTTGAAGGCAAAGTATATTATTATTAATAAATTTTAAAATGTATTAATGCAAATCGCTTTTTAAACTGTAATCCACAGAATCCTATCACTTAAGGGTTCCGCGACAGTTACGTACTTTTTCTTATAAAATTTACGAAAGTAATTAAAAAAAAAAACAATAAAAATTAACATCTCTATAAAATAATAAAAAAAACATACTTCTCTGGATATAAATATTTGAAATATTTCTAATTTTTGTTGCAAATAGATGATTATCGAATGTTGCATTAAAACCTTAGTATTGAAACCAACTAGGTGACATTAAAGAAGGTCCCATTATTTATCAAAAAGATTAACTTTTGTTATTCTTTTAATTTTTATTACCTACCTGAATAGTGCTTATTATGTATCAATGTCCCTTTGTTTTTTTAATTTATTATTTATTTTTAAGTTATTATTGACTTATTGTTTCTGATTAATACATTTGCTTGTTAAGTTTATTTTTATAGTTATTTCTGTTTCAGAGATAATAATCTTCATTATGTACTCTGGAATATGTAGCAGTCTGATAGCCAACCACTTCATAAATAATACGTTTTTTTAATATATTTTTTTAATAAATTTATTTTAGCCAACCATTTCATAAATATTATTTTTTTTTTCAGAATATTGGTTTTGTATTTATAATTTTTTATTAAATTTATTTTTTGATTGTGCTTGTTTTTTCTAAAATAATTAAATCTATAAACTGTTAATAAAGCAAAAATGGAGTTTATGTAAACAAATCTTTATTTTGGCTGTCAATTTTGAACAGTGAACTCTATCTAGCCTGGAAGGGCGCCGCCGTAGGCGAAAAGTGAGGCATAACCGTTGAATAGGCAACCCGCAGTGGTTACGGCTATCTATCTCTTTCTATCTTATATATCGTATGGGAGGAACCCGCAATATTTTAAATATTTTTTAATTTTTTGTAGACAGGATTATGTTCAAGTAGTTATTTAGGAGAAATGACAATGATTATACATTTTTTAAATTTCAATTAACATTTTAATTATTCTTCCATAGAGTTGGGATATAAAATAAAAACAAAATTAGAAATGCATATTTTTATTATTTAATTTTGCAAAACATTGAACATAACTTTATTTATTTATTATATGGGAAAACCCCATTATAAAAAAATCTGATGTGTCCAACAGTTATTACAGGCTTTTTCCGGTTATTTTGTACAACCTATTGTGGCACATCTGCAAATGTTTAGATGATAAACTAAATATATATATTTTCCACATACTTCTAATTCGAAACATATTTTTTTATATACAGGGTGTCCCAAAATTAAACGGTCATATTTTAACAGCGTAATCTACATCCTAAAAGTTCATATAAACATAGGTCCGAAAACGTTTCTTTTCCGAGATACAGGGTGTTAAAAGTAAAGTCTTGATAACACACTTTTGTGAATATTTTCTAAATGTTTAAAGATAATTAAGTGAAATTTGAAACGAATGCTTACTTTTTTACGCTCTATTTAATGGACTAAACCCCAGTTTTTGATCATCTTCATAGGTGGGTAAATTAGGGGGGGCTTAAGGTAAAATTGCCCTAAGTATTTTTTTGTTTACAGTTTTTAACATTTTTGACTATAAAATTTAAAAACCAATGTTTTCTTTACAATAAAGCTACTTTTGTTGCATCTCCCTAGGACGCACCATTTCCAAGAGAAAAGCATTTGAAAATGTCATGATAAGTTAATGTTATCTTATTCGAAAGTGTAAACAATAATTAGTAGGCCTGTGGAATCAGAAATTTTATTTGAAGAATTTTCTTCACAAAAACGTAAATTACACCTACAAATTCTTGAGTTACAGGATGCTTGGGTTTAAAAAGATCTATTTTTGCAGCAAAATAATTAACAACTGTATTAATAATTTTTTGTTTTAAGTTTGTTTTTGTTTTTAAAATAATTTTACTTTCTAATATAATACAAATTTCCTTTTCTGCAAAATGTAGAATTTTGTACACCACATCTGAAGAGTAAATGAGACCTCCTCGAGTAACACAATTAGTAAATGATTTATACGCTTCAGAAGGGGCAGTATATGAATGGTCAAAACATATATTCTCTCTATAAAGTAATATTTCTATACAATGATTGCATGTAGTGGAATTAATTAGATTACGAACTATATATCCAGCAATATAATACACTACATTTTCTTGAAATTCACTCAATTTTTTTTCTCCAAGACACTTAATTAAATTATCAATTTCTTCAGTTTGTGTAGCCTCCTGCAACACATCTTGCCTTTGTCTCTCTTCTGAACGGAATTCAAAAGCAGGAGTGCACTGTTCTGACTTTCAAAGTCAGAACAGTTTGCACTGACACTTGAAGTTACTGAATTCCTGTAGAGCAACTGTCTTAACGCCCATTTCAATTGCTGGGTGTTTGGATTGTTATTCCAATTACCCCTTAATCGGATACAAGAAAAAAAAATTCCAAGTGATCTTGAGAGTACTTATATGTCAAAAAGTACGTTAGTGGGATTTCAGTTAAAGATAAAAGATCAGTAGCTAAACCTAACGTACTCTCCATTGTTAATATAAAACCAACAGCAAATGTTTTACGTTTATGTTTTAACAATGGAATGCCATCAATTTTTAAGGTTTCCAAAAAGTCCCTCGTCTTTGAGAAAATGTCCTTAAAATAATCTAAAGATGTTGTCCTAATAGGCGCTTTATACCCTTTTCCAAATGGATTCCTGCAATTTAGAACGTCAAAAATTTTGTCCAGAGTACGTAGAAATTCCACAGTTGCACAACTCTGCTCAAAACCTTTAATATTTGTCTTTTACAGATATTCAATGGCATCTGCTACACCGCTAATCATTGTTTGTGCAGCAAGGCGAACATTCATAATTTTATTCTTGTAGTTCACATGGTGAGAACTAAGTGAATTTGCCAGTTTCAATTTTTCTCTAGTTTGAATATCATCCAGAACTTTGATGTAATTCCAAGAAATTTTGCCTGACCTTGAAGTTAGGTTTTTCTCAGCAAAACAATTCCTGGCCAATTTCAACATATGGCAAACATCTAGTATACAATATACTCTAACTAAATGATCACTAGGGTCGCAAAATAAGGTTTTAGGGATTCATGGTCAATACTGCAACCTAAATTGTTGTATGTTGTAATATTGACATTGGTCCCATCTGAAGTTATGGACCTCACAGTAATACCAACTTCATATAAGCTCCTTAAACATGCCATAATTATCTGAGTTTGCAAATATGCATTTGACATTACCAAAATATCTCCCCTTATTGTGATCCCACAAAACTTGTTTTCTTATTGACATAGCATCCACCACCAAAGCACAATTTTGTAAAGATGGTTTATCAAGCACTTCTTTTTTTTAAAATTCCAAAACTTCACTTAAAATTCCCGGCTCGCAGTACATTTACAAAATGTTTGCGTAAAAAATTATATGCTTTAGGAGAATAAAAATATAAAGTGTGTGCAAACTGTTTCATTAAAGATGAATACCTGCGTTGCCCAGAATGTAAACCTTTATCTTTTCCTTTTTGGAGGAGTAACAGTTCCAAAGGCAAGCCTAAAAAGAAATTATGATGTACATCTAGATTTTAAAAATATAATTTTGTAGTTTTTACCTTCAAAATGGTTTTTTAGTACCTCATCTAGATTTTCATTGCTATGTCCGCTTTTAGAAATTTCATTAATAACATCTTTCATGTTGGTAATTTTCACATCTCTCCTCTTTACTTTCTGTTTCAATGTTTTCACTTTTCTTTGTAAAAGTATATTCATTTTATTCGAATCAGTTTGGGTTTCACGATTTATCATCTTTCGAACTTGTGAGCTTGATGCCGAGGTAGAAGATAAATCAATAATGTCCATAGAAGTTGCACTATCGTTAATAACATAGTTATTATGAACATCCACAGACTCAGCCTGCAAAAAAACTTTTATTATTTTCATCTTAAACAAGTGCAACTATATTTTTCTTCTATATAAATAGTTTACCTACCAGCTTTTTTATTTTTCTACGAGGTGTAGCAATTTTTGGTAACAAATGTGCTGGATATGAAAAAACACTAGGTACAGCATCTGGCTTTAATAATTTAGTAGTACAACCTTGTTTGATTATATAATCAAATGGATGAAAATGTTCTCCACAAAGTTTGCTCGTTTTATATGGAGTCCAGTTCTCCCTTCGAACTGCTTTTATCCAGAGGTTTAGGACTTCTGGTCTTTTAAATGGAAAACTGTAACAAATAAACTTACTTTTTATTTTTCTGTTAATACTATTGTTTATTATTTATTATTTTACTCTAAGAAACTGTTTCAAAAAATGAATGTGAAAGACAGTAAATACATAACCACCACGGTTTTATGTAATAGTTTTTTTAATTTTTGAACATAACATTAATTGAGCCGTTTAATGCTGTAGCTGTCATATTCAAAAATTATACTGTACGTAGGTAATATAGGTCAAAGTTGAATAACAATAAAAAATATGTGTTTCAACTGTATAATTTTTTTATCATATTTTCAAAAATATTTTTTAACTTACCCATGAAAAGATATTTTCCGTTTATCTTGCTCATTCTTGCATCCAATTGCTACACAATAAATCACCATTATTAATTAAAAACACCAACAATAGGTTCTTATAAAACACGTGACAAATAAAACTAATGGAATACCTAGGTACTAAAAAAACGAATGTCTATTGATGTGTCTATCTTCACTAATATAACCCGTTTTCAACACTGAACCAGACTGAACTATTTATGAATATGAACGACGATGGTTTTCAACAAAAATATGGCCTAAAATTTGATTTTTTTACCTAAAAGATCATTTATGGACCAACCCTTAAATAAACGTAATTCACTTGTCATGAGTATGACAAAGACAAGTTACCGTAACTATCTCTATCTTTGTTGCATCTGCCCCTGACACACTTTTCGCTATTTCACCGAACGGTCGTCGCCGTTCCAGTCTATATGGAGTTCACTGATTTTGAATGACCCCGCGTTTTTCTTCTCTTCTTCTATATATTTACTCATATGGCCTCTTGCCCAATGAGAAAGTACCTACTTGAAAAATACGTCACGTTCTTCAAAAGCTACTGGAATTCTATCATGGTTTTCTAACCCGAAGGTTTCCGTTCTAAGAGTTAGTATTTTCTAATACCATTTTCGAGTATCATTTAACAAAAATGTGAGTATAATGTGAGCATAAGGCAGTAGGTTAGGACTTGATTGTGAAATATGATTTAATGTTTTATTAAATTTTTTTTTTATAATATTTTGGATAAGGTGATAAGCAGGTTTTTGGATTATCCGTGTTTTTGATTATCCGGCAAAGGCTCGGTCCCGGCTGGCCCAGATAATCGAGGATATACTGTAAAAATTTCACAAAAAAAAATTAGTTACAAAAATAATACACTCTACGACTCTGGAAATACCGATCGTTTAACAACTGTCTTGACATAAAAAATAATATAATAAATAATAATTGTCGTAAGCGTCACATATGTCAAATTTTCATCAAATTGCGCGGGCGCACACTTTGTCTTCAACTACGCATGACTTCAGAAAATCATACTCACGCAGGTGATATAAGCTATCAATTTGTTATACTATAAAGTAATACATTTTAACAGCCTAAAACTCAAGAATGGAAAAGATATCGATGTGTAGTTTTCGCTTAGATTTGCTTCAAGTTTTTGTTGACATTGCCGAAAAATTGCCGATTAATAAAATTAAGTGTGTTCTATCTTGATCTACTTTACGTAAATTATTTGACGCTTCCTACTGTAGTATGACAAGGTGGCTTATTGATAATAAAGCACGTAGGGTTATGGTGAAAAACCTTTTATTATCGGAACAAGAAAACTAACATATATAACTAATAAACGAATGAACTGATATAATGTAATGAATGTTGTATTGTTTATTCGCGTATAAATAGAACGATTGTCTTGTATGTACCCACTAAAAGACCGGCTGTAATACGTGTACGTTAAAAACCACGTTTGTATGTATGTGTGTAAGAATGCGTGTCCGAGTTATCTACCGTCTTAGTCAAGCGCGCTAGACAAACTGAAACGATATACGATATGCCGCCAGAGACAACAGAGACGTGTAACTTCATAGGAAAATTTGTTCGGTGGTTCATTTAAATTACATATATAACTTTCTTTCTCTTTTAAATTGATCTTTACATATGTTTATCTCTCTCCAATAAAACTAACACCAATTTAAGAGGTCGCTGATGTTGCTGGTTTTTTGACGTTGACGTATCGATTAAAATTGACAACTGACAATGTTATAAATGTTATGAATGTTGTTATGAATGTTGTTATGAACGTGTGCCTTTTATTAAAATTAATTTAATTTAGGCCCCGTTTATTTCTTTGAGTCTGATTTTGTTGTTTAATTAATTTTCTTTCGGGGGAATGTTTATTTTTTGCATGAAGCAATTTCTGGAACCAAACTCGCGTTTTTGTACATATTTCTTTCTAGAGGTAAGTAATTTCCAATTTATTAAGAAAACCACTGTACAATTTGTGTGTTTAATAATATATTACAAAATGGCTATAATTATTTTAGGTGAATTGGAACAGAGATCCATTGGTACAGCTACTTTTGTTCATTAATTAGGTAGATGAATGTCTGGACAGCTTTAATGGCAGCACAAAGTGCCTACCTACTAGAAAAGTAAAATGTATGCCGAGTTAGAATCTGCATATGTAGTATTGGCAAAGGAGATTTGAAATGATTAGAGATTGGCTATTTCTTACATACACCTACCTCTAATAGCCACTCTAAACGAAGAAAAAACGATTGAATAACAGAAAAGGCAGAATTTTAAATCAGGATGCATTGGAAAATAAATTTGGAGACATCAGGTCGGTCTTGGATTTTAGAGAGAGATCAATCTCAAGAAAAGTTAATTTATCATTCAGAACAACCAGCAGTTTAAGCAGGATCTGCTATAACTTTATTAGAAGATTTCCTTGATAATAAATTGTAATATACGAATTATTTCAAATGAAATTAAAAAAGAGTTAAATTCGAAATTAGATTTTTCATGGGTAAAATGTTATATTCATTCAAACATTGTAAGGTAATCTATAATTAAGGGAATATGGAAAATAGGTATATCCTGGTGGTGTAAGAGACAGGTAAGGGGCAATGCCAAAAAAATTACAAAAATGTATTCATCTTTAAATAGTGTTTATTATTAATATTATTTGCTACGTTTGAAAAGTACCTCCTGCTGCAGAACAGATCGAATAGATTAGACGACTAGTTGGAGAAGGTTCACCTAGTAACCAAATTAGGAGACTAGGAAAACTTTTACATGACTGGGGACACAACAAGAATGCACACCCACAAGATACACAAACAAACGAAATAACAGGGGTAAGCCTTCAGCAACGTCCTGTTTAAATGATAGTATGTTATCCTTCATTCCCTTTTAGACTCAGGCCTTATACATTTGTGTTGAGTGTATGTGTGTGTTTGTTTTGTTTCCATGGTTTCTATTAAAATATACAGTCATAACATATCGATACCTTTTTGCCAGACTAACATAAGCGACATTTGTTCAAATGGCACTTATGATAGTCTGGCAAAAAGGTATCGATATACTCTATACTTTATAAAATATTTGTTACATTAGTTTTTAAATATATTATGAATATATAACAACTGTTACTTTCTTTGTAATTTGTCACAAAATGATAGGAGGTACTTTCTAAACATAGCAATTGTAGTTTGTTTTTCTGTACCTTACAAAAATATAATTTATAGAAAAAGAGTTTGGTGTATTATTTTTCCAAGTTTAAATATTTAATAATCAATAGAATTTTCAATTTTTTTTAGCGAAATTTACAAGAGTAATAAAAACTATGTTCACTGCTTATATTAAACTGATTAAAACTTCCTTTATTAAAATGATTATTTATGTGATAAAAAATTTGATGTTAGTGGAAGCTTTAATATTTTTTAATATACAGTGAAACAATAGTTTTTGTTTCTCCTGTAAATTTGTATAGAAAAATTATTTATTTCTAAATCCATGTTTGAATTTCCCGCCCTAAAGCATTTTTAATTTTCCCGCTATTTACTAGTGGCGCCATCATAGACTGGTTGTGGTTACAATCGCCCAAATAGGTTTTACCGAACAAAAAAATACATTGAGTTACACGTCTTACTGGATTGTCTCTGATGCCGCGAACGTCACAGAACACTGTCCCAGTGGAGTACCGTACCACACCTACCGTCAACTATATTTTTCAAAACCACCTTAATTAAACAATGTCTAATATGTCAGGCAGCTTTGGGAAAAGGACACATTTGATTATAAGCGTATCAAATCATTTTTTATTTGAAGTAAACCAGAAAACACACCCATAAAAATTATTTAAAATAAATAAATTTTAACAGAAAATTACAACAATTTTCAAATTACATGTTTTTGATGTAGATTCATAATCAAATATCTTCCCAAACCTTTAATAACTAATCACAGGGTATACATTTTTGAATAGAGGAAGAAAGGGACTTTCAGATGGCATGAACAAATATACGGTGTTCTATTTAAAGCAAACCGATAATTTGGCTTAAAAAAGACAATTTTTTCCGGTAGTTTAGGGAAAAAATATATATTTGACAACTATTTTAACAATAACTTGAAGCAAATGTAAGAAATTAAGCAGAAACTGCAACTTGTTTTCTTTTCTATTTTAGAATATTAAGCTGTTAAAATGTATTTTATATGGGACACCCTGTATAGTGCGTCTATAAAGTAACGCATTAATTTATAACTACCTTAATATACTGTTACGCAAGTTTTTGGTATCACAATTTATTTCAACTGAACTTTACAATAACTGTAATTCAACTTTGACAATAACTTTACAACTGATAACATTCACGAATAACGTCTATCATAAAACTAAAACTCTGACGTCAGGTCGTCGACTTATATAGCTTGTTGACCTTCTCGAACCTTCTCGAAATGTCATCTAGAATGTTCTTGACGTGTAATGACATTTCTGGACATTTCTGGAATATTCTGTCTTCTTTTACTTGTAGTTTTACTTATGACGACCGCAGCACACTGTAGAGCGATGAGTAACATTCCACTTCTTCTTCTATCTGTACGTTTCCTATGATAGCCACAGGCTACTACAGGGTGCTGCGTAACAATACAATACTATTAAAATTCCTGAAACATATCGATTTTGCTTTTAATTTACTGATTTTTAAAATAATTCTTGTGATTAAATCATTACCACTTTTTTTAACAACCCATTTATTTCCAATTTTCAAATTCCTTTTGCTGAGCTGATTCCAAAAATGTATCACACATTAGTTCAAATTTGTCCAGAGTGGGAAAAAATACAAGTTACTTGCAAAATAAGAAATTAACAATAGACGCAATAAACAAATTAAAGGAAAATACGTATTTTTATGAGGTAAGTGAATACAATATCGCCATGCTTAGCTTATAATGTTATTATATAAAAGTACTGTATATTAAAAAAAATTTTGTGGTAAGAATGTTACTGATACATCGTACTAATAATTTAAAATAGTAAAAGATGTTACGGCAAAGTTTGT